TCATTCTGTTATCAGGCCCGTACCATTAGAGCCATCAGGCCCTTTCTTGTTTTCTTCATTATTATTATTATCATTATTAATGTTATTAATTTTATAAGATAATATGTAACGAGCTCGTCAGCTACTTCCTCAACGAGATGTGACTCAACGAAAAAAATGTGATCATGTAAAATAATTAGATGACTAAAAATATGAGTCAATCCAATTTAATTACAGCGGAACTTTTAATCCCAATTAATATCGATTGGATATAAATAATTTCGGGCGTTGAGAACTCTCAGAGCAGCTTATCAGTTATCACTGATAGGAAATTAATATTTTGCTGAGATTTCCATGTGTTAATCATTCCACGTGGCCTGTCACTCTGACATTTCCTTCAACAAATAAATATTAGTTTTGACTGCGGTGTTTTTTTATTTTTCTTATCTAAATAGCTCGGTCATTAAATAGAAAAAAACTTTATAGATGTGAAAGCCAAAGAATTTAAATCTAACTTATCTGTACTCCAAATTATGTACACATAATATGAAAATAAAGTTAGCCGATATCGAAAAATTTTTATGATTTTTTTTTATTAAAAAATTAAAAGAAAATTTTGCACTTGTTAAAAACTTCAAAAACTATAAGTGCAATTTTTTAGTTATAATTTAATAAATTAAGCAAAATAAAAAAATCAAAAATGTCGGCTAACTATGAAAATTAAGTTAGCCGACATCTGAAAATTTTTAGAATTTTTTTTTTATTGAAAAATTATTACAAAAAAAATTTTTAAAAAAATTTCATTTGTAAAAAACTTTAAAAACTGTAAGTGCAATTTTTTAAAAATATTTTTTAGTTCTTATTTAATAAATGAAAAAAAAATTAAAAACTTCGGCTAACTTAATTATTATATACATACTGAGTTTTTCTAAATTTCTTGAATAAAATGTAATATTTTAACCATAGAAATGGATGGTTTTACAATTATTACATCTTAGAGGCCTTGAAGAACAAGTTCTAAACGTATCATAGATTGAACTATTAGAGTATAAGTAAGAATATGAGAAATCGATCTTTCAGATGTAAATAAACTGGCAAGTGTATCGTTGGATCGATCAAACAAGTCAAACTACTTCTCCCTCTATTATCTTTGTTTTTCATTTGACCTATATTTATTTATCTGTGTATTATACTGACTTCTTCACTGACGTCAAAATTATATAATGATACTGCAATAAATATAGGAATAAACCAACAAATTTATTGACCATAATACTGAGAAGTTTAGTTCAGGGCGTGGTTATGGATTGTCATTCAAAAACAAAATCCAACAATTGCTCATCATCAGTCTTTTATGTATTTTTAAATCTTAACTATTTATACCCCGGCAGGTTTCACAACTTCCTCATATTTACTGATAAATAAATAAAGTACCGTACACCATAGTGCCGAGTTATCAAATCAAACAGGATGAGTAAATTCCAGCGCTGTAAACATACAATAATTTTTAATCTTCGCTCCATTATTCTTCATACATTTATTTCTTCCCTACATACATAATACTTTTAATTGTTGAATCTGTATTCAGCCCTTGGTCATTATAAATAGAAGAAATAATTATAATTAAATGAATAAATAATTTGAATTTGAGTAACCATAAACTCACCTCACTAGCGAGACCTCCTTTGCCCGCCATGTTGACAACAATAATGGCCGCCGGCCGTGATTACCTGTGTGTACGCCCGTATGTATCACACGTCAAGGACTTGCCGAAAAAAAATATATATGTATATATTATTTACGTTTTTTAGGCTCGAGTGTATTTACACAGTCACAGTAACTTCACTGATACAATTACCTCACGCAAACATAACTGTAAAAATAAACTAGATTTTATAAACTAGGTGGATTTTGAAGTTCATAGTCAGATGGTTCATGCAGAAATAAAAAACTACGAATAAAAATAACACACAAAATTTAAGACACAAAGACGTTACACACGATACGCACGCTACGTTCTCTTACACACGAATGAGAGTATGACGTCATTTATAACAAGCTTCCACACACTGTACAATTTATATTAAAACTAACTATTGGCTGACGCACTTACACACTTTTAAAACTAACGAACTTTCACGCAGGAGTTATCATAGGTACCTTTGTCTCGCTCGCCACACGCTTTCTTCTATATAGCGGCTCCTTCTTTATGGAAAATTATTCCCTCTCTTTTATTTATTCACAGCTGTTCCACCTTTCATTTCATTATTCTCTTTTTTATGTTTTTTTTTTTTTTTCCTTTTCTTCTTACTATTTCTAAATTTTATTTTACAACTGCATTGAATCTTATCAAACTGTAAAAGTAATTTATATTATGAAATTTAACTACTTTTTTTTTTACAGGTAAATTAATTCAAACGGGACCCAAAAAAATATTTTTGATCTTTTGGAAAGCTTATTTATTTTTTAAAAAATAATTAATGCAACGTAAAAATTGTAAGTATAAAAAAATTCACTTTTTTTTTTATAAATTTTTTATGAAAATTAAGCTAGCCGACACAACAATTTTTGATTTTTTTTATTAATTAAAAATTAGAACTGAAAAAATATTTTTAAAAAATTCCACGTATAATTTTTAAAATTTTATGCATATGAAAATTTTTGTTTTTAATTTTTTTTTTTAATTATTTTTCAATAAAATAAATTATAAAAAAATTCAAATGTCGGCTAATTTAATTTTCATAAATTTTTTTCAATTATTTGCTCTATGAATATTTAATTAATATTCCGTAAAAAATGAAAATTAAATTAGCCGACATCTAAAAATTTTTAGAATTTTTTTTTATTGATAAAATCATTACAAAAAAATCAAAAAAAAATTTCATTTGTAAAAAATATTTTTTTGTTCTAATTTTTTTAATAAAAAACATTAAAAACGTCGGCTAAATTTATTATCACCCGTAAAAATTGTAAATAGAAAATATTCACTTTTTTTTTTCAAATTTTTACTCTGAATATTTAATTAATTTATTTAGAAAAAAAAATTAGAATGTCTAAAATTTACAGTGTTATACTTTTCACTGAATAATAAAAAATTATCTGTCTATTGTTTTCATTATCATAAATATTTACTTTTATTTAAGTATGCAATAAATAAAAAGTTTGATTTTAATTGATAATTCATGAATCGCAACACAATGTAAAATTTATTATCACTTTTTATCAATATTTCTCAATGAAGATGACAAATGTTTGTTAAAAATGAATCACCCGGTTGATACTAAATTATAAAATCAATACAAAAAGATAATATTTTAATAAATGAAAATTATATAAAAGAAATATTATTTAATACATAATAAAAAAATATATTAATTAGTAAAACTCCTGAAACGTTGACACGAAGAGTGTAATTCCTCGCAAGATAGTCAATTAAAATGATGACTGTGCAAGTAACGTACAAGTATTGTACATACATATATTTGTTGAAGGTATTGTGGATGTCGTACATATATGCCTGTTAATATACACACGGGTGCGGTTCATCGTGGAATTCCAGAGTCGTGATTAAACAAAGGCCAACGGCTCATCGAGCCATCTCGAAAGTACTTACTGCATATTACTTAACATCTATATTGTTTTAATATTTTTTTTTTTATTCTCAGGTTTATATTAAATACGTGCCATCAAGCAGAGGATAAATTCATTACCAGGCATTGTTCGTATCAATTGTCCTGGCATTAATTCCGCTAAATAATCCACAGTGTACTCGTACAAACATTATTATGCGAGTAATTCAAATGAAATATCAAATATCACATTTATGATTGTGAAATAAATTGAAATTATTTTATTATCAACTATAAAATATATACATTTAATAATAAGTTTATTTGTAATTTTTCAGGTACAAATACATGCATGAATTTAATGTATGTAGAAGTTGGAGTAGTTAATAGGAAAATTGAAAACTTTTCTCATTAGTATAGGTGCTTCATGAATTCGTTAGAGGAGTGAAGTAACGAAAAATATTTTAATAAAATGTTCTATCACAAAAAAAAGGAACATACGAATTTTTCTATTAAATTTAACAGTTACTTACCTTGGAAAAAAATATTATTTAAATCTTCAAAATGATTGTTACGACGAAAAGTTTATTTATTCGTGTACATGAACATAAATTTGTCTGAGTCAGCGGTTAATTCTTGGTCCCTCTAGATTTTCTGTGCATGTTATTTTACATAGACTTACTTATTTTACTTGTGTTAGTAGATATTTGTGTATGTATATAAAATAGAGTAAGACAAAGCGAGAAAGAGAGATATGAAATGAGGAAAAGAGAGAAAACTAGGCGTCCCGATCGATTCAGAGATGTGGGTCAGGCATACGCCCGAACCCCTCCAGGATTTGCTGGCATCCCGTTCTCTAGTTTTCCTCTTGCTCTTGCTCTTACTCTGGCTTACCCCTTACACTATTCACACAAATAACATTATAATCCACGTACAAGAGAACTACTATTCGTTCCTTGGAGTTTCTCGATAATTACCAGATATTCCTGCTAATTTAATTTCTGGTTTTTTTATTGGCTTTCAGATTATTGAGTCTTGGAATGTAGAAAAATTTTTTCCATGGTTGAATCTTGAATATGTCAATGGGTTGATAAATGTAAGGGGCCAATTGAACGCTCAAGAAACTCCCTAAAGAGTTGGTATATTTCTTTGGAGATATTTTTATTTCCAGACCATAAATCTACTACCCTTCAACTCGTTGGAATACTCAAGCACTAGAGACCAGTACTTGAATGCGATGATAGAATTAAAATATAGCCAAAAAATTTGGCACTAGCTTAAAGTTTCTTGTTGTATTGTACTTTAAATTCAAAGTAGGATTTTACTGGATTGTATAGATGATAAAAAATCTAAATGTTCATTTTATGCAGCACCAATAGAGTTTATTTGTGAAAAAAAATTCATTTACATTTATTCATTATTAATTAAATGGATATAAAAATTATTTTAATATTAATGTCCTTTTTTAACTAAGAAGTTCACTCGGAAACAACTGTGGACCTTTTCATTTTGATCTTGCAATGAAAATTCAATCCATATAGATAAAGTATCCATGGGCATAGACACGTTTGGCACGGGAAAACTCAGTTCAAAAGTTCCTACGTCGTTGGGTTTAAGAGGACACTTTTGGGCTTTTCCAACAAGATTGTCACATCCATTGATGTTTAAATTTTTATATTCAACCCAAAATCTCAATAATTTAAATCTAGCCACTGGTTTTAATGTTGTGATTTCGTTGGCTGAAAAAAAATTTATAATGTAAGTATACAAGCTTTATAGTTGCAATTAATTAGAAAAAATATTTCTAATAGCTTTTAGTTTTAAAAATTAATATAAAAATTTTATTTACTTACTTGCTAGGAAGTCCCACTGAGCGTTAACGTTGTATCCGGTGTAAATTGGACACGGAAAATAATCACAGTTCTCGATGTACAAATTTTCTGGTTCCGGTGCACCTTCACAGGTTTCATATGGCGACCAACTGAATGAAGCAACTCCGCAGAATGCTAGTGATGCGATTATTAATGCTTGAAAAAAAGAAAAAAATTAAATTTAGTAATTTAATTAAATTAAATAATTTTAATCACCAAAAATTTATAGAAAAATTATAGTAGCAATACCTTTGACAAACATTGTAACTAAATGTGCTTGATTGTTTCAGAAAGCAAACTAAAATTTGGAACTGATGAAGTCCTTTACATACTACTGAAAATTTTACACTTGGTCACTTAAAAGCTATTACAAAAGGATGAAACTTTGGTAATTGAAAAATACATTAGTCTTATTCGATAATATTGCCCGAAGGTCAATGCTGCTCACAAAAGGTAGAAATTTTCTTTAAACAGCTTAAAATCGAGGTATAGATATTAAACCTACTGTAAGAAAATGTAATTGTCATTTATATGCCTAAGATAATAAAGTAATTATCCTGCTTGAACACCTGGACGTTCTTATCAAGTTAAAGATAATCTTAAGGTTTGTTCATCATTTTTTATCGATGGAAATAAGCTTATAAGGTTTTTTTTTTTTAAATAAAATAATTTTTTTACTAATATTCTATTATGATTATTAGGTAATATATATGTACAAAAATAATATTGATTTAAAAGTATAAATTCGCAAAAGAAGACATAGTAGAGACATCTACGTTACGCCCATAATCATCGATTTACCCTTTCAATAAACTCACTAATTTTTTAACTCGGAGCATCGCAATGCAATGTTTAAAGTACTTAAATTTTTTTTTCTCTCAAGCCTTTATTACAAAAAAAAAAAAATATTCATTGATTAAAATATTAATTGAACTATGGAAGTCAATTGTAGGTACAAAAATTCTTAAAATTATTTTTTAATTTTTCAGTAAATTAACTACTCATTTTTCCAAGAGGGCATTTTTACAAATTTTTCGATCAACCAATCTCGTATCTCCGTAGATGTATATTTGAAAAAAAAGTTGTAAATCATGTATCGCCATGGTTCGCATCTAGATAAAAAACAAAAAGTTGAATTATAACTTATAAATTGATATTAAAGAAACGAAAGATAAAAAATTTATACTTGTAAATTGCCCGGGGGTATTGGTCTAGCATAGCACCTTCAAACAAGTCATACAGATTAGAATTCTCCAAAATCTGAGGGACAGCGGTAGCATTACATGGTAAGCCACACAAATAATTAGCATATCTCGTAAAATAATCGGAATACAATGATTTGGCTTCTGGTGTCATTGCTGCTTCCATCATCTTAAAATACTTCTGCTGTTGGCATAATATATTACTTTGGAGGACAAATGAACCTTAAAAAACAATTATTGGGATTATTATTTAGTTTAAAAAAATTTTTTTTATTAATTATTTTGTGATTTTATTTACCAGGTATGAAATTGACAACTTTGATTCCGAATTTTTTTAATTCTACACGCAGCGCATTAGTCCAAGAAGCTAAAGCACTCTTGGTGGAGCTGTACACTGCAACACCCGGCAATGATTCGTAAGCGCAGTGGCTCGTTACATTGATAAGCCTACTTGAGTATTCTCTTAAAAGTGGTAATATTTCTTTAGTAACTCTCATTGTTCCTAGCAAATTAACTTCTACTTGATAACGCACTTGTTTTTCTGTTTGCCATTCAAATTCTCCAAATATCATAATTCCGGCATTGTTTATAAAACATCTTAGAGCTGAATTTAACAAATAATAATTATTATTATTTGTGGGTCACCATTATAATTTTCATTTTTTTTGAACGAAATTTTTTTTGGAAAATTTTGATGTATTTTTTTTGAAAAATAAATGAACAATTAAAAAAAAAAAAAAAAGTTGATTATCATAATTTTAACTAATTTTCAAAAAATTCAACTTTTTTTTTTAATTGTTCGTTTTTTTTATGTACTTTTCAAAAAAATACATATCAAAAACATCAAAAAAAGATAAAATATAAATTTTATGTTATGGCCCAAAATAGGATTGACCCCATTTGTAAATAATTATCATAAGTGTTTTTAGTATAATTTATTTATTAAAAAGAAAAAATTTTATGCAATTTCAATTTTACACTGAGAAAAAAATTATTTTATAAAAAATTAATGTCCTTATTTTAAGAATATATATTTTTGAAAATTTCTGAGTGTACTTTTTTCTCTAAAGAATTTTTCATCTGAATAATTGGTCGAATTGATAAAAATAATTTTTATTTAATTCAAATGAAGCTATTTTCTTATAATAATAAGAAAAATATTAATATTCTTCTTTTAAAAAATTAATGTATTAAATTGTTAATTTAAAAGAATTTCTCAGTCAAGAAATTCTTAATTTTTATTTTTTCTCAGTGTAGTATCATAAAAAAAAATTATTATTAATTATTTAGTGCATTAATTGTCTTAAATAATTGAGTAAACTATTTAATATAATAGAATTTGAAGAAAAAAAATAGGCAAGTGATCAGTATTAAATTTTGTTAGGTTTGAACCTTACCAAGATTTTTATTTTTTAGGTCATTACGAATATATTGGACGAACGCTTGAACGCTTTCACTGCTAGTTAATTCAAGAGAGTGCACGAGGATACCGGCCTTAGATAGTTCGTTCGCTCCAGGACTATCGATGTTATGGACTCCGGCAATAACATGAGCGTTTAAATTTTTATGGCAATGAAAAGCCAAACTAAAACCCAAACCGGAGTCGCATCCTGTGATGACAACCATATCTCCTGGAGCAATTGATTTGCGTTTATTTTTGAAATAAAATAACCAAATTGTATCTGAAAATAATAAATAATGCTCAATTATAAATTAAAAAATTTTTTTAGTTAGAAATACCTACAGGAAATCATAAAAAAAAAAAATTTATAAATGTGGATGTTTATTACTTACTGATTGTAAAAAGTGTAGACAACGTATATACATTAATACACTTAAATATATATAGACATGAAAGAGTAATTATAAAAAATATGATATCAAAATAAGGTTGTCTCGAAGAGTTACTAATTGATTTTAAAAGTTCCATGTTTCCACAAATATAATAAAAGGTAATTAAGATAAGTTTACACTATATTAAATTGATTAATTAATAAAAAAAAAAAAACTAAATTTATCAAAGTATGATAAAAAAAAATTTTTTTTTTATTCAAGGAGATTTGAAAAAAATCTTAAAATGTTTTAAACAGAAGATGTGTCAGTTTGAAATGTAGGTATTCGAATTCCAGGCTCGTTTCTCCCGTCAACAAACAGAATACCAAAAGTCCCCCACTTTTAAACCGACTTCTTATCCTTCATTGGCTTCTTCACTTTAACTACACAGTTTGACGTTAGAAATAAACTAGAGGAATAGTAAATTCTATTTGAATTTCAACGACTCTCGAAACAAAAACTAAATAAATCAATCTGATACATTTAAAGTAGACTCTGCTGATTTGCATCAGCATCAGTATCAGACCCAGATTATTTGAAACTTTAAGATTTAAAGTTAGTTTTTTTTTTCAATAACTTTTTTAGACGGATTATGCGTTTCGGGTACAGGTAGGTCAGGTATCCGAGACGAGCCGGTCCAGCTGAGTTAAAGCGTCTTCATGTATCATCAATTACACTAATTCGTTTTTAGTCATCCAGTGCAAACGCCAAACAGGTTTTATACCAAGCGTTAGATTTCATTCCCAGAAAAATATTAACTCTTTACCTTCAGTCGAGAAGTTATTACATATTTAAAAACTTCATTCTATCAATTTCATCCCTTTATACTTAATAAATTAAAAATATAATTAATTCTATCATTACACTGTACCTCATTGACAAGCAAATGATTACATAAAGTAGAATAAATAAATTTAAAAATTGTTTTTGAATATTTACTATACAAAGAATTACTTTGACTGGCTTTTTAATAGAACATATACAACTTATTTCTAATAGTCGTAATTAATTACAAATATGTATATATATTATTATTATTATTATTGTAGATAGAGAATATTATAAATCAATAATTAATAATTGCTTATCGTATAAAATTAGCTTGAAAAATAACAAATAAACAGAATGTTTTAAATGACACAGTCGTGAGGTATAATTTGTGTTATATTGCCGGCTCTTGGTGTAAATTAAGATTCGGATTGTTCTTAAGCTCAAACGACGGATCTCCATCGGTAGCCATGCGACCTAACCAGGAGAATATCATGATAATAAAAAGAAAACAGACTATTCCAATTACTGCTAAAATTAAATATCTTCGGTACACGGATTCGGGCTTGGATCCCCGTCGACGAGTTTCCGATAATTTTGAAAGCTTCAAGAGCTTCCATATGTGGAGCAACCGCTTGATCGGAGATCGGCGCTCGTACTTGTTTTCATCGTGATCAAAACTCATGTTTTTGGAATCATCACGTGTTTCAAATATTTTACGATCTAGCTGGCTCGTTGACTCCATGTTTACTACTGAGTAAGGTGGTCCTTGCGACTGATGATTATTACTGTTATTATTTATACTGTGAACGTTGTTTATATGCGTGCTTATTGAATTAACATTACTGCTAGTACGTGCTGTTGCGACTGAAGGTATCGGTGGTGATGCGTGATTTTGATAGACTGTTGTTTCAATTGACGGCACTTTTGATTCTGGTATTGAAGTTTCTCTGTCATTGCTTAGCTATAAATAAATAATTAAATAAATAAATATTTATTCAATATTTCTTCATTTTATTTAATAATCAGTTATTAAAAAATTTTTAATAATTTATGGGCATAAATGTAGCCGATATTAAACTATTTTTATAAATACAAAAAATTTTAATGAAAATCAAGCAAGCTGACATTTAAAAATTTAAAGAACTTTTTTTTATTGAAAAAATTATTAGAAAAAAAAAATTTCATTTGTAAAAAACTTGAAAAATTGTTAGTGCAATTTAAAAAAAATATTTTTTTGTCTTAATTTAATTAATGAAAAAAAATTAAAAATGTCGGCTAACTTTAGTGTAATAAAATTAAGTTAGCCAACATATAAAAATTTATAGAAATGTTTTTTTTTTATTGAAAAAATTATTAGAAAAAAAAATTCATTTGTAAAAAATTTGAAAAATTATAAGTGCAATTTTTAAAAAATATTTTTTTGTCCTGACTTAATTATTGAAAAAAAATTAAAAATGTCGGCTAACTTTAGTGTAATAAAATTTTAATATTTGCAAAAGAATAAATTTTAAAAATTATTAAATATATCTGCTACTTTTACGCTTATAATAATTATTTTATAATTAATGAATAAATAAATTTACCAAAGGCAAACCAAGTCCAGCTCTGGCCCAATTGACACTAGCCAATTTTTCTTTCAGTACATCGGCAACCGGTGAAACTAAATTAGGCGCTGGAAATATGGCATAATTACAAGTCGGACATACGTAACCAGCTGGTGCTGTCGTTGAAGGTAAACTTCTGGCATGTTGATCCAAGCAAGGCCAATGATAAACATGATAACAAACTAATCTCACGCAATCACCGCTTTTCAGTTCGTTAGAACACAAAGTACAAATTGGATTACAATCACTGTCTTGTAGCCATTGAAGATAAGACTGTACTACGCACTGAAATATAAATTTTTTTAAATAAATAAACGGCAAATTTTTATGAATAATAGAAGAATAAATTTTTTTTTAATTAACACAAACCTTAGGGTGATTTGTCACCATACAGTGCTCGCAAACGTTGACTCTGTGCTCAAAACAAAATTGATTTGTCACTTTTCTTTTAGGACATTTACACAACCCCATTTTTATTTATTAACTTCACTGAATGATTAGATAATAATACTCATAAATAATTAAACGTTTGAGAAAAATATATTATTAAGTCGTTGAAAACATATTACAAATGACAGATGACACTAAATGAATATTTATCATTCCACCATGTTTTCGATGAACCAGCTGAGGCCACGTTGCCTTATAGTTTCCATAATCACCGTTGTTTGAATTTGTCGCTGATGTCATGAAAATAATTCTAGCAGGTATTTAATAATTTTTAATAGAACTTTTTTTTAAATAAATTATTGTAAAAAAAAAAAAATTGACAAGTAGAAATTTTTAAAAATAAAAAAATGCAATTTTTTGAAACAAAATTGTTTGTTAAAAAAATTTCTAGTGACTGCTAACTTTAATGTCATGCTGATATCAATTTAAAATAAACACAAAAAGTTTTTCAAGTCGTGTTTTTTCAAAGTCAATTTTTTTTTTATATTTAAAAAATTTGAATTTTTTTATTTTGGTAAAAAAAAATTTTTTTTTTTTCATTTCTGAACAAAGTATAGTTAAAAAATATATAGTGTTGTAAGCTTGTGATGAAAAAGTTAATTTTATGACATAAAAACATAAAAATAAAAATAATTAAAATTGAATAATTAAAAATTTTTAAGTTCAAAATCGATAAACGAGAAATTTAGTACGAAAACTTTTGCTGCAGATAAAACAGTGTTAAAAACAACCTCGCAACCTCTGCTGTCATTCCTTCATTCCTGTTGCATTTTTCCGTTATTGTTATTATTATAATTAATAATTTATTTACTGCGCTTATTACTTCCTGAAAAAAGTTAATTAAATGAACGGGTTTGTTATTGAAGTGTAAAAAATAACTTACAGCAGAATGATACACGAGGAAAAAGTACTAGACGAAAACCAGTGGAAAATAGAAGCCCAAGCGATAATAAACGACGTCAAAAATCACGTCCAGGACATAAGTATATCGCAGAAACTCCAGAGTACGAACAGTAAAATTTACCTCAACCTCACAACCCTCGAGAGTGATAAATATTGTGTTAAAGTGTCATCAGCTGGATTTGCAGTAGCTAGTGATCACCACGACACCATAACCAATTCTCAAACTGAAGCCCAAGTATTTGAGACACCCTACGGACTTTTGGACTCCATAAGCCCGAAATATCGAGAGTCATTTGGGAATGATTTAATAAACAAATTAAATAATCTGAGTAACTAGTAAATTAATTAATTTATTTAATTATTTGAAATTAATTAAATTGCCTTCTAAGTGTGTGTGTGTGTGACATTTAAATTTCCCGCTTTGTCGCTGAATTTACTTTCTTTACCAACATTCAATTTTCTCAGACAACCTCATGAGATGAGTATTTGTACCTAACCTCAATATGTGTTAAATTGCCGAAAATATATTATTAATTGTGTTTATAAATAAATAGTAGTTTGTAAATAATAAAATAATAAGCTTGTAAGTGAGTAATTGTCTTCTTTATTTAAAACGCTAAAATGATTCTATAATTTTTAATAAATTTATTAATATTGCCCACAGGTCACATAGTCTTATGATTATATAAATATAAATAATTATTAAATAATATTTTAATTATTATCATAATACAAAATGACAATTTTGAAGTTGGTTGGACTTTTACGCAATGGGTCGTCTCTTGTCCCGAAATCAACGTCATCTTGGTGTATGTCAAAACATCAAGTTTTGTCAAGTGCATTTAACAGTACATCGACAGCGAATAAATCAGCTCCTAATGAAATAAAAGTGAGTTTATGCGACGTTAAATAATATTATATATTAATTATATGTAATTAATTTTGTCAACAGCCTATAAAAGAAAAATCAAAATTTTCACTGGTTGAACTGGCGTTTGATCAGCTGTTAAACATTGAGAATGATAATAAAAAGCTTCAGGATGAGCTGACACGTGCTGCGACAGTTGAAGATTTGTTAAAAGTGTCAGGAGAGACTCATGGAAATCACATGCTAATGCAGTTTATTGTTTCTACACTCGATCAGTGGGTCGACGAAAAAAAAATAACTCGAGAAAAGTTCAAGAATGACTCAAGGTATAAGCGATTGTGCTCAGCATTGAAAATAGCTATTAAAAAACAAAATAATGCTGCTCAGGAGAAGGACGCACATTTAAGTTCAGAGCCGATTGGACGAAGTGCACATTTCCATAATATGTTTCATGAGAGTAATTCTTACAGCTCAGAAATTTCTAAATTGTCTGTTAAAGAAGCTGTGGATGTCTGGACTGGTTTGATGCTTAAAGGTACACGGGAGAAGCCACTACTGGATTCTCTTGCTTTACATTTGTCAACAAAAATTGATAAATTGAATATTAAACAGAATGCAGACATACTTTATGGTATGGCGAAGCTTAACTATCCAAATGAAGCTTTATTAAAAAAAATTTGTGATGAGCTAGTTGTGTTGGTTAAAAAAGTCACTAAAAGCCCGGTTATTGGGTCTATCATTACGTCTCTTGGGATGTTGAAGTATCGTAATGACGAAGTAATGAATGCACTAGCCGAATGGGCGGTTAATAATAAAGAAATTATTAGGACTCAGGATGTGTGTTCATTTTTGATGACACTAGCAACGATTGGGTACAAGCCCAATAATTCCGACGTTTTTTTTAATGTATGTATTGTTTTTTTTTTGTTTTTTTTTTTTTTTCAAGGGGTATTCTAGTCTATAAGCATGAATTTCAGGTAATTTTTTGGAGTGCCGTAAAAAAAGGCAATCAATATTTTTATTATAGATTTTTTTATAAGTTATTTATTAACACTATAAGAATACAGAAAAAAATAAAAAAAGTTAAAAAATTAGCAGCTGATGAAGAGGAGAGGGTCTCAAAAAATTGGCACGTGACTATGCAAACGATTTTAATCCTCCTAGCAATCTAAAATAAAAAAATAAAAAAGATTATTAATCTAGAGTAATGTCGTTATAGCAGGAAATAAGGTCATCCCCAAATTTCAGTTTTTACTATTTTTAAAAAATTCGAAAAAAAAGTAGTAAAAAAAATTTTTTTTTTTTTTTTCAGGCTGTTGCCGTTTTGTAAAAAAATTTTTTTTCAACTTTTTTTATTTTTTTCTGTATTCTTGTAATGTTAATAAATAACATAAAAAAATGTATATTAAAAATATTGATTGCCTTTTTCTTACGGCACTCCAAAAAAATTACCTGAAATTCATGCTTCTAGATTAGAATACCCCCTTTAGCTGAAATTATTAAAGACTGAGACATTGATTTAAATTATTTTGCAGGAGTTGGTGTTTACGTTAAAAGAAACTGACATGATCAAATCGACAGAGTGGTTAGATGTTGTGTGGGCTCTTACAACGCTGAATCAAGTATCATCTGAACATATATCTTCTGTTCTGAATGACAAATTCATCAGCAAGCTCTGTGGTTAATATTTTTAATTTTTTAAAAAAACTTTAGTTGATAAAATTTTTTTATCTAATTTTTTTTTTGTTATAGAGCGTGATAATATAGTTCCATTGGTAAAAAAACATAAATTATTAAATATAAATGCGGTTGCTAAGTATTTAATAAAACACTACAATGGTCCAAAATTGCCGGACAATTCGCCAATATTCGATGCTCCGATTATGAAAACTAAAGATAAAGAAATATTTGTAAGGTCGATTAAAGATACGTTGGTAACTCTTTTCCCTTCGAGAGATCACTTTCGAGAAGATGTCTCAGATGGAACGGGTTTTTTAATAGGTATGTATTTTATTGAAATTAAAAAAATCATTTTAATTGATTTTATAATAATTAATTTCTTTCATTTCAGATCTGGACTTTTTTATGGATAAAAATTTAACGCCTGTTCCCTTCAACCAAATAGGAAATAAAAACGATTTAACAAGGGTAGTTATTGTGGCTAATTCGTATCAAAATTACTGTAGAGGAGAGACTATGTTAGTAGGACCAGTACGATTACATTACCGGCTACTTCAAGCGCAGAAATGCCAGATACTCGATATTTCGTATGTTGATTTTCACGCGTCCGAGGTATTATTAAAACGAATCACTTATATTAATGATCGTATTAAAGCACTTTTAAAATAGTAAATAATAGTATGACAGTATAATTATTGATCATTGTGTACATTTAATAAAAAAACAACTAATTTCATTTCTTATCTTATGTTTAATCGAGTATCACTAATTTATTGAAGTTTAATACCTAGTTTGATTTTTACGAGTAAGACTCTGTCCCTTTAATCAGAATTATAAATACTATTTTTATCAAAAAAAATTTTAATGTATATATTACTCAAAATACGCAATGCTTAGTAAATGATTTTGTTAATAAAAAAAATATTTACTTTCTATAACTAGAATAAACTTATTTTATTAAAATCACTATGAAATTTTAAATGTTTTTTTTAAATCAATTACACAGTAGCAACAAATTTTTTTTTATAAAAAAGGAAAAATTTATTAAATTATAAATAATAATTTTAACAGTAAATTTTTTATTTATTTATAAGACTTTTTGACCCTCCAATCCAAAAATTCATCAACGTCGCTGTCATCATCGCTGGAACTTTCATTATTTTTCTCTACAGTGTTTTTTGGAACAGTGTTTTCTTCCTTCCACTCATCAAGTGCCACAACTCTGCAAAAAAATACAATTAATAATTCAGACTTTCTTAAAAATATAATAACTTAGATAAAAGACCCAGTATTGACACTGGCCTCGTTGTTTGACACGTGCAAATTTAGTCTAATTAAAAAAATAAAACGTTCCCAAAAAATCAATTATCTTAAAATTTATAATCCAAAAATTATATTTATTAATTTATTAGAGTTGATTTGTTTTTTTTTTTTAAGGATGTTGCTAGTCATACGATTGTCGTATGAATAATAAATAATTATTCGTCCGACAATTTTTATATTAATGAAAATAGAGTCAATTTATATTAAAGCAACAAAGGAAATATAATTCATAAAATTATAAACTATTAGATTCGTTATTGTTTAATGAGCGAATTTATTTTAAAAATTGTCGGACAAATAAATAATAGTTATTCATACAATTGTATAAATAAAGGAAAAGTTTACTTATCCAACTATCGGACGATTATTTTTATTTTTATTAATACGATAATTGGATGAATAACTATTATTTATTTGTCCGACAACTTTTAAAATAAATTCCCTTTCTTCTCCTTATTTTTTCTTTTCCTTCTCCAATTTTATCCATATTACATCATTAATAAATTTGTAAGTGTCAATAACTGGGTCTTTTACTTTACTTCAATTCAATAAAAATATTTTATTATTTACCTCAACAAATTGCCCATCTGTTCATCAATTTCATTGTTTTGCCTTTCACTGGTAGCCAGCTCGTGATCCTCGGCAATGATTTGAGCCGACTGAGTTGTCTCTTCTTTTATTTCTTTTAAATACCTGTCCCATTCCTCCTCGACAGGGTTTTTGTACTCTACATTCCGGACCTGTAACCAAATAATTATAAGTGTAAATATAAAATAAAAATATAAATTCTTGAGATAAAAATCAAACACTTGATATACCTTAGCATCTAAAATTGGATCATCAAAAAATCCCTCAGGAAGAGGAGCTGAATTGGTAGATTCTGTTTCTTGGACCTGTTCAGCCTTGACAGGCGTCGATTCAATGGATTTATTGTTATTGATATTCACTATGACTTTTTCAGAGTTTTTCACAGCTGGACTAGTATCTTCACGACCAGCTGGAGCATCGAAGAAGTCTGCAGGTAACACGGATGGAATATTAACATTTCCTGAATTTTTTAATATTCCTTTTACTTTCTTGATCGGAACTTCTGTTCGAGTAGGTGATGGTGGTCGTTTGAATGCACTGGTAGGAGCTTTATTCACAGTTGCCTTTACCTCTAGTGATTTTTTAGCAGCGGCTACGTTGTCCTTGTGTGATTTAGAGTTTAGATGAACAGGCCATACAGTTTCACTACGGACTACTGATTTACAAATCACGCACATCAGCTGACCTAAATCGTTATACTTGTACAAATGTTAAGGAAATACAGATCTTACATGTAATACCTAAAAAAATTAACTAATAATATTATAATTAAATTATTAGATTTAAAAGGATATTTTGCTAACGGAGATTCTATTTTCTTGACCGCTCCTGTTTTCTTCTTGTGGTCACTCATGGCTTTTCGTAGCTCATGTTGAGTTAATTTTTTAGCGTTTGACATTTTGATAAATTTTTTTATAATACTTAATTAACTGACAATAATTAACAATTAAACTCCACTACAGTGTGGCCAGACCGAACCATTTGAAACGTAATGTTAACCTATATCCAAAGTTGTTTTTATTATGGAGACTATGGAGACTATACACATGTGCATAGTTTCAGTAAAAATTTTAAATTGTTATGTTAATTTCACTAAAGATGGCGCTTTTGATGTTTCTTGAGTTGGTGCACTATTTGACAGTTTCTTTTTTTCATAAATAAAAGTTAGCTAATTAAAGTGTAAAATTTTATTTAACTAGAATTTTTAACGGCGCGCATTCGCGCGCCCCCTATCGAAATTCTCAAATGAATTTATCCTGTTCGATTTATATCGATATATTGATATGTTCACGTACCAGGAGATTGACCAATAGTAACTGAGGAGGGTTTATATTCTACCAATAAGGAATCAGGTCTCATTTTTTCGACTATTGACTAACTTCAAACTGTCATGTATTTTTATTGTAGGGATTAGAATTTAATTTATATTTTTTTAATTTTGTGATATTAAATTAAGACAAAAATTAATTATATCAATTTTATACAATAGAAGTATAATTTTGAGCAACAAGAAAAAATGAAAATTAACTTAGCCGAGATCTAAAAATTTTTAGAATTTTGAAAAAAAATTTTAATTTGTAAAAAAACTTGAAAAACTGTAAGTGCAATTTTTAAAAAATATTTTTTAGTTCTAATTAAATAATTAAAAAAAAATTAAAAACATCGGCTAACTTTAGTGTTATAAAAATGACACCAAAGATGACAGACATTAAAAATTTTTTTATAATTTAATATCAATGAAATTATTTATGAAAGAAATTTAATAAAAATATTTCACATGTGAAAAAAAAAAATAATTATAACTAAAAAGATATTTATAAAAAATTGCACTTGTAGTTTTTCGAGTTTTTTACATGTGAAATTTTTTTTTTAATTGTTTAATTGAAATTTTTTCATTAAAAAAATTTCTAAAAATTTTGTAATGTCGGCTAACTTGATATTTTCATAAAAAAAAACAATGAGTGAAGAAATTTATTTAGTTACTTTTATAACTAAGCAAATTGATATCATCTTGTGATTTGGATATTAAAAAAAAATGTTTAGCGTGCTGTGGAGATATTAATATTTATATAATTAATAAATAAAGCATATTCGACACAATAAGAAAATGGTTTTATTAAACTCATAACAACACAAGCAACAATAAACAATGATATTAATAATAAAATAAGCTACAATTTAAGCGATTATTCGTACATATTTAATAGTAACTTATCAATGAATATTTTTGATTTCAATGATGATTTATTAAGTTTTATCGATTCAGTGTATATTATTTAATAAACTATTAAATGATGACAAACTGATTTAGTAACGAAAGATAGTCCAAGCACTTCCCCAAAGCTGGACTATCCTTCGTCCAATCGACCAATAATTTCTTCTTCTAATATAACCTTCAGTAATTAATCACTCGCTTCTACATGACAATAATTAATAACATTTAGCTTGCTTTATAAATTTATAAGTGAAAAAACACGCCAAGCTAATAACTCTCTACGTTCCCTTAAAACGATACAATGATAAGACTGTGCATTATTATAATTTATAATAACAATTATAATAATTAATATAAATAAACGTATTATAGCACAGTCGAATATACGAAAGTTTTTATAGAGAGTAAAAAAGAGGTAGAAAAGGGAGTGTCATGATGGGCACCCTGCTCTAAGCCGAGAAGAGATGATTAATTCTTTATTATTATCATTGCTAATAATAATAATTAACTATATTGATGATAGTAAATGCACTAGACGTTGTTAGTAAATGTTTACATATCAACGGAGTTATTCTAAATTTATCTATCGTGTGGTCGATTCTCGTACTTTACGTTAACAATTAACGACAAGCCTCCTGATTATGAAGATAAAACCTTCCCCTAATTTTTCTTCTTAATCAGGCTAGTCGTTAATCATTAAAATTATTAATATGTTTCGTTTTCTATTCTTAGAACTCGTCATTAATTCTTGATTATCATATACAGTAACTTTTAATGTATGTAATTATTGATTAATTTTAAAAGTACTTATTCGTCTTCTTTTATGTATCGTTTTATTTTTTTTTTTTTTTCAAGGATTTTATTTCATTTGTTTTATTCTATTCGTGCGTTAGTCGAGTTTCTGACAATCAGACAACTCAATTGTAAGACAGTAATTATTATATCTGTATTTAATGATAATAATTAATGTTATAATTATATAATAGTAATAATAAATGTAATAATGTATCAACTATTTATGTTTTTTAAATAGTTATTAATGATAGCGTCATACAATCACAGAATACAGCACAGTCGCTAGGCGTTGTTTAATTGCTAAGCCTATTCGACACATTTAAACCAATAAGACAATAATTACCAAAAATCATCACAACAGTGACAACTTTAATAGTCATCTTTCTTCATCATCTATTACAATCATATTTAATTATTATTATTCATTATTAATTATTATCAATAATAAATGTTGGTTTATATTAGATTTATAAATTATTTGATAGACATGTTTTTTTTTTTTTTTAATGATCTCTTAATAAATTTTAAGTGTTTATTATTCGTAATGATATATGCGCAACAGCGTAGGCACTAAATTGCAAAGTATTTAATGAGATAATATCTCTTCACTATGATCGTACGTCATTTTTAAGTTACCAATTATTTAATAAACCTTTTTTTTTATTATTCTTTGGACCAAACTTGCTTAACAGCTAAATGCAAATATTTAATACACTTTATAATTGCTAACTCCATAGATCAGGTATATAGTTTATAGAAAAAAAAAAAGGAATCTATTAGAAATCTCACTTGTAAATTTATTAACGTGCATTGTAAATATTTACCTTTATAATATAATTTATCTCGGTAATAATTAATATATATTATTTAAATATCTTCACTAGATTGTTGAGTGTATAAAGATCCAAAGTTATCACTACACTTTGTTCCTACGTTCGTGTCTTAATTAATTATAGCGATTTTCTAACTAAATTTTATTTTATAGCTATTGCGTCCGACACAAGACTATATCTTCTTCTGTCACCGTAGATACTATTTGATAAGTGCCATTTTATATTGAATATAGAAACGAGTTTATCAAATAGTTTAGTATAATATATAATAGATACAATAATAATAATAATAATAATAATAATAATAATACTAATAAATACAATTATAATAATAATAATAGTATTAAGAATTACGTTTAGTTATATATGAAGAGTAATAATATTATTACAGGCATTGTCTTTAATAAAGTTGGTGATTATTCGAATAATTATTTTCGTGTGGTCCCCGTTCGTGCGTCTTGTTCTGTGATCCACATATTTTATCAATCCTCAAATAATTAAATGCAATTTTATTTTATTGCATGGTAATAATTATTTCAATCCGATTGTCTATAATACTTTTGTCTTCAATAACTCCAACGTGAGACATTACGAATAAATCTAAAGCGTTGTACTTGATATTTATATATAAATAATTATAATAGTTTTATTATTTATGTATAGTAGTGTTTTATATCTAACGTTAATACTTGATTTGATTAGCTTAAAGACGGCACAAAAAAACTTTCGTTAGAGTATATCAAAGTATTTTTTTTTTTTATAACAATAATAAATATTTTGTCCAAGTGACTTGCCCTTAAATTTAAAAAAGTGTTTGTTTTAAAAGTTTGAACTTAAAAGATAATTTTTAAAAATAATAAAAGGGCAACTTTTTAACGTGAGACTTGTTACAATAATTTAGTAGCTAGTTAATGTAAGTAGTAACGTCTTGTTGCCTATAAGTTAGTAAAAAGAGCACGATGAATGCTTTCAGACGGTGAACAGTGCAGACTGGTAGGATGAGGATGTCTTCTACGCCCTGGCCTCGGTGATCTCAACGGTGACGCTCTCGATTACTGGATCGTTCAGGGTGTTGGGATGATGGGGTGGCGATTTGTTGACCCTTATCGCTGTTGATATTGATGAGGCGTTCCCGCTGCTTCCGCGGCTTCCCCTGCGTGACCCTGTACGAGACCCTGACAATCAGACAGCTGTCATTGAAGTTTCCCGAGGAGGATCGAAGCATCCTATTTTAAACGCCAATTAAATAACACTAAATTTATGACTGCTCACTAAGATAAGTAATACAAAAAAAAAAAAAGAAGAAAAAAAGATACAAATTAAAATATAAATTAAATGATTACTAGATAAATAATAATTTTTGTTTCAGTAGACTAGTTTAGTATAGTCACACGAGTAACAAGCAAGTCATTTACTTGAGCAAGCAACTATTTTCCACGTCACTCATTCAACTACTGAGAAGAAAAACACAATTCTTCAAGTAACAAACTGTCAAGTAAAGACACTATGAAAACATCTAAACAAAGATAAATATGGCTGCTTAGTATTTTTTATTCGACATATTAAAGTGGAAGTAGAGTAGAGTTTTGTGAGGAAGAATACACTGATTAAAATTTTACGTCACAATACTAGTCTTGTTGAATAAATATTCACAAAGTCTAGTGTTTTTTTAACGTATGAAAAAGTAATGAAGATATACTGTACAATTTTCAGATTCTTTAAAAATTTAACTTTTAAAAAGTGAATTTTTATTTATTTACAACTGACATTTGAAAAATGGTAATTATTTACAAGTGGGGTCTATTATTTTAATTTACATTTTTTTTTGAAAATTTTAATATATTTTTTTTTAATACATAAAAAAATGAACAATAAAAAAAAAAAAGTTGATTACCATAATTTTAACAAATTTTTTTGAAAATTGTGATATTCAATTTTTTTTTTTTTAAATTGTTTGTCAAAAAAAAAAATACATCAAAAAAAGATAAAATAGAAATTTTATCCAAAAACAGAGCCAAAATTTTCTCCAACTTTTGAAGGCAAAAAAGCTATTGAAATATATTAATTTATATGATACTGAAATTAGCAAACATTTGACAATTTTTTGAATTTTTATAACCAATCAATTATTATAAAAAACATATTTTAAAAAATTCGCACTAATAATTTTTTGAAGTTTCTACATGTGGATTTTTTTTTTCTAAATGTTTTTCATTGCAATTTAATTGTTATAAAAATCTAAAAAATAAATATCGTAAAAACAAGTAGAATAAAAAAAAATTTTTAAATGTCAATTTTTCACCTATATGTGGCCAAAAATAGATTTGACCCCACTTATAAATAATTACAAAAAAAACTTCATTTTAATTGAAATTTTTACTTTATTTAAAAAAAAAAAAAAAAAAAAAAAATTGACGTAAAATTAAATCCAGTGTATAAAGAGCCAGAGTTGAGGTAAAACATAGTATACATGCCTCATACCTTCCATGAGATGTAACTCGTGATCGTGGTTAACGATCAAGTCATGCGAGATAAAAACAATAGTAATTATTCCAACACTTAACTTAGTTAATTTAAGGACACAAGTGTATCAAAAGGAGTTTGTTAATGTTAATGATTGTTGTTAGTTAATTAAGGTTGATATTAGGCAGCAGAAGTATAGGTCTAGACTATGATCTATAACAAAATCTGAACACGTCAAAGTCAAGTATGTATACAAGTATACAAATATATATGAAGATATATATTCGCTCTATGAACAAGGAAGATACAAGATAACTCGATAATAAAAGTTGCTTGCTTAGTAATTGAATTGATAAAAACCCGTACGGTTCACTCGCTGTGTGTTTTTCGCACCTTGCTGCGAGCCATTGGGTGAGTGGGCCCTCAGAGATGCCATGGAAGGTTGCCTCGAGGGTCCTCGTTGACTCGCTCTCGACCCGCGTCGCTCCTGAGCATGAAGTAGCTTGTTGTTGTCACGAAGCAGTGAGACGTTCATCAGACGAGCGTTCGGAGTGTTGAATATTGTACGGTTTTCACGCCAGCGAGCTCTGAGCATCATTATTTTTGAATTTGCGGCTTTTAATTACCTTTGTTACTTCATATTAGGGTTAATTTATCGTCTACTCACTTGCTGAAGAGTCTTAGGACCACACAGATTATTATGAACATGAGAGCCATCGCCACCAGAATTCCTATCATCGCTGGATCCGTGTAGCGCAAGTTTTCTTCTTCCTTCACCTCCGCTGTTTACAATTATAATAATAATAATAATAATAATAATAATAAAATTAATATTTATTTTTTGCAGATAAATGATGACATTGAAGTATGAAAATTAAATTAGCCGACATCTAAGAATTTTTAGAATTTTTTTTTTTGAAAAAATTATTAAAAAAAAATTTCATTTGTAAAAAAATTGAAAAACTGGAAGTGCAATTTTTAAAAAATATTTTTTCGGCTAACTTTATTATTATCATTGAAGTTAACAGTTACTTGACTATTTTTTAATAAATAAATTTTTTCCAAAAAATTATTTATAAAAAATTGAATTTTTCATTTTTTTTAATTTCTACATGTCAATTTTTTTTTTTCTAATTATCTTTACCATAATTTACTTGTTAAAATTATGAAATGCCGGCTAAATTAATTTTCATAGATGAATGTGGGAGTACTTGGTTGTATAATTTTTTTTTTTTAATTGATCTATTTACCGATACACTCGAAAACTCCTCCCGGTTGGAGAACTGGAATTTTCTCGAATATGCAGATGCAACGTCCATCTCGGCATTCTGTCTGCGATACCTTTTCCTCGCATTGTTCGGTAAAAAAGCACGACTCGTTCACATTTGCAGCTGTAAAATATTTCAAATTCTGAATAATATTATCCAGGAATTCTGTAATTATACATTGTGGATCTGTTCAACTTCATAATAATGGAATTTATCATAAAATGAAAACGTGATAACTGATAACATTTAACACAAGATTAATATATGAAATGTAAGTTTTATAATTTAATTATAACTTAAATGAAGAAATGTTGGTTTTTATTATAATTTATTTTGTAGCAATAAATTATTGAATGCTCTTCACAATACCAAAATTATAAATGATAAATTTTAATTTGTTTGCATGAATAATAACGTAATTTATTGGTTTTAGCTGGAGGCCAAATTGTCATCGAAACATTGCCAATATTAATGTTTTTTATTACCTCTGCAATTACAGTGTATTGAGTGGAAATATCAAATTTATAAATACCAGAAAATAAATTTAAAAAAAATAATACTCACGAATTCCACATTTGTCTATATGATTCGTCACAGGATATTCTTCTCGGCAGTAGCATTTTTTACTTCTCGGGTCACAAAATGACCCGTCGAACCCACACTCTCGGTCTTCTTTGCACTCATCTCCGAATTTTTTTACGCCACGATCAGGTACGGCTGTAAGTAAAAAATTTTTTATGATAAATAACAATAACCCAAGATGAAAATATAAAAATTTAAAAAGTATATTTTTTTTCATAGATAATGTCAAGGCAAGCGGAATTTATTATTAATAAAAAGGCTTTCAGTGAAAGAACGTGACAGTTTTTCATATTCTACAAAAAAATCAAAGAAGAACCTACGAAGATGTAGGTGTCAGAGCAATCTCGGAAGGGTAGAGCCTAAAGCCTACAGCCCACAGGTCTACTGACATCATTCTCTTCTCATACATAAAATATGCGACCACATGACATTTGTGAATTTGCTCCGTCATCACTGAAGTTTTCGGCAAAATGTTTTACAGTCTGACGTTCTCTTACATCATACATATATTATGTACTATATATATTACATATTTATGCAAATGTCCATAATAATATCCAACAATTGCATCAGATTGCAGACTGGTAAAATTACCAGGGCATAAACTCTCGAATTATGTTCACTTCTCGGTGCATCAATGTAATAAAACGGCATAGGGCCGCTCGATAAATCCGGAATTGATTGTGGGCATCGACAAAATGGACAAATGCTTGCTCACTCACTGGAAGACTTTTCGGCTCATTTCCACCTAAAATACAAACCGGGCTCCTCTGTTATCCCACTGATTTATTTACTAAATAATCACACACAGAATAAAAAATTTATTTCAATCAAGTAAATAATTTTTAAGAATGTAATATTCTTGATTTGAGTAGAAAAATTTTTAAACTAAGAAATTTTTCCTGTTTAAAGTTAATTTTACTTGATTCAAGAATTTTTTGTCTTGATCCGAGACAATGAAACTCTTTAAAATAATTTTCTCGGTTCAAGAATTTTTATTTTTTTTTATTTAATAACCAAAAAATATTACAGAATATCAATATACATGACATATCTGTCCTATAGAGATGCAGAGCATCTGTTCATAGGACTGGTATACAGAAAAAAAAATTTACTTGAATCAAGTAAATAATTTTGAAGAATTTCATCTTCTTGATTTAAGTAGAAAAATTCTTAAACTAAAAAATTTTTCTTAACTTCAGTAAATCTTACTTCAATGATAGAAGGATTTATTTGTATAAAAAAATATTTGTTAATAGTTAACAAATCATTTATTAGAGACCACTTTTTAGTATAAAAAAAAAATATTTCTTAGTATTTAAAATGATTTGTTTGTATTAAATAAATTTGATATTCATTTATTAAATATTAAAAAATCTTTTTAATTAAAAAATTCTTTTTGATTCAAGAATTTTCCGTCTTGATTCAAGACAATGAAACTTTTCAAAATTATTTTCTTGGTTCAAGAATTTTCATCTTGATTCAAATTAAATTTTTTGCAAGGTATAAATTAAATTAAATTACAATTCAAGAAAGCTTGATTATATAATTAATTTATTATAATAGTTTAGAGAATTCATAAATCTTGATTCAAATTAATTTTTTTTTTTCTGTCCAATACATCACATTTAAATATATTTATTCTCCACACAGTATATTATTATATGTGTCAATATATCTTGAGGATCGTTCACGTAATTGCAACAATAGCTGTAAAAAAAACTCCTCGCGGAATAGCAATGTCATGGGTTAATCTCGAATAAAAAAGTGGGTCATTCTCGGTGGCAATTTGCCAATATAGCTTATTCTTTTTTCTCATGACTATGTCTGTAGATCACTCTCGCATCAGAAGCTTCACTATTTTTTTTTTTATTTTATTTTTCATTATTTTTATTTTTTCTTCCCATCTTCATTCACCTGGAGTCCTCCCACGGTACCGAAGCACCGCAAATCCTACAGTTTCTCCAACACTAACGTTATTCCATCGTACATCAATGCAATCAACTTGCCTTACAGTCTCTGCCCTATACTATACTTTTCCCATTATATATCCGTTGAACGGTTGAGAAAACCTCAAAGCTAGAATGTTAAACTTTTTGAATCGTCTGGAATTGGGAGATACGCTTTTAAAGACTTAACATTATCTTTTGTATCGATAGTCTGCAGGCACGTACTCCTCTGTGCTTACATTAATACATATATATTTATAAACATGTATGAAGATAAATGTGACTATAGATAAAAGCTAGAGATGAAGATATAAAATATAGGTATTAGCTGAAAGCTAAATAAAGTAAGTATATATCTGTATTATAGAGTCACATAGCTATCGTTGAATAGGTTCGTTAATAGTAGAATCTCAATGGTAAAAATAGTCTCTTGTGACAATGCTCACTTCTCTTTTCGTCTTTTTATCTACCCTCTATCTTTTATTTTACTTCCTCCTCTGTTTATTCTTTGGCACTATGGGAAAAACAGCGTCAAAAGTTTTACCCCGGTCTCTCAGCTCGTTCGCTTTTATTATCACTCTTCTTTTTTTCTACTATATGGATATCCACCATCCACGTTCACATTCTGAAAAAAAAAACTTGGTTTTATTCATTCGCATTCACCCGCTCATTAGCAAAATAACAAAACATCTTTTTTGTTACTTTTTTAGTCCCAGCTCAATTGAAATAAACAACAACATCATCTTTTTATATCAATTTTTTCACCCTCCGTTACATTTATAATATAATATATTTTTTTTTCACATGAATTATCTCAATAGAAGAAATAAACTATTTTTTGTTTTATGTGTTCGAGCATTAACTAAAAATATTGCTTCGCGTGTTTATATTTATTCATCCATATGTTTATACTTACTACACATTATGTAGACATAAATTATTTAAATTTATACTTTTTAAAGTAATATTAAAAATGAACGGTCTTGGTTGTAGTAAATTTTCTCATCCCCATTTAATTGACGGTCTATTTAATCCAAGTGAACATGCAACATTAGTCCTTCGAGACTTTTCTCTAATACCCGCAGGATTTTTAGTAGTATAGAATAAAAGTCACGTCCTTTCTTCTGAAAGCTTTACTTTTATATTACTCGATAATATATAGCTTCAGCGAATACAGTACATACAGTACACAAGTAAAGTAAGGAAAATAAGTGTAGAATTTCTATTCTATAACTGCCGGGTGAATTATCGAGCTGTTTCACTAGACTCCAACGTCTTTATTCTCCTCGACGTAAACTCAAAATACAAAGGAACTAATTTTTTTCTTTTCACATAAAAATGTCTACTTTTATTTATAGCCTTTAATTTATCAACAAAGTTAAATTACTTTTTTTTATATCTCATTTTTCGTTTATATTTAATATAACTGCAATCAATTAAAGATCTTTTTTTAACAATTTTGTATTTTTGTTTCAGTTGACATTTTCACGAAGAAAAATATCTATTTTACATTATCGTGGATAAAAATAATGGTTTCTTCCTGGCGAGAGGAAGATAAAGTGGATTATAATAAAATTTTAAAACCTACATTCTGAGCGAAGAGATATAATATGTAAAATATATAACAGAATAGTATTATTAAAAAGTTTAAGTATTACGTTATTATAACTTCAAATGAAGTTACACAAAGTTATAAAATTGTGTCCGAGTTGAGTAAAGAAGGAAAAACGCATATTGCTTTTTGAATAATTTATCTTCATTGAATGACTTACATGCGCATATATGTATTAGTAAATATGAGTTATAATTATTAAATGAAGAAAATGAAGAATGCGACGTGCTAATGACATGGTTTATATTTCAGTAACCCAAAACAGTACTTGGACTTAGATATTTACCCTTTGTGTCCAAGTACAAAGAGTTATGTCCACATGGTAATTGCTATTTCAGTCAATGAACTAAAGGTTAGCTGTTAACTGTTAGCTGTGCTAATTAAATGAGGCTTATTGACATTTCATTTTTACTTTCTAGCTCCACAAAGCAAAATTGATGACTTTGAGGACTGTTTGCTGAAATTCGCGATTATTTACTTCATTACCTGGTTTTATTCATTCAGTAAATGTCAATTGGACTCACGATTAACGAAGAAAAAAATTAAATGATATAGTATGAGTAATTATGATTATAATTGCATAACTTGATAGAAATTAATGTGCTTGATTTTCGTTGCGGGAAATGTATGTAGAGTAAGTATAAATTGATACGTTTAATGTCCGAATAAATTAATATATTGGAGAGTTGTCATTTACAGGCTCGGTTAATTTTGACTGCAAAAATTATAAATTGATTTATTTTAGAGTTTTGATTGAAAATTTATTGTTATTAAGTAAACAAATTTATTGTAAAGGTAATTCAATTATTTTGCGGATTCATGAATAGTTATATTGACTTGGAAATGAATTTTTTATAAATTATCACGGAGAAAACTTTTTTTAAATCATTTTTATACGTACACGTTTTTATTAATCGTATATTTGACATCAAAAGTTTCTAAATAAATAAAAAAAAATGATACGTCGATTTTTTATGGACTATAAATTTGGAATTGAGAATTCAAGGAATATTATCTACCGTAAAACCCATCCATTCGCTAAAAAAAAAAAAAAAACAGGTAGTGTGAAAATGAACAATTGTAAAATTTATTTTATAGAAAACTTTATCAAATTTTTAAAGATACGCTCGAAATTTTTTAGAACTTTTGATAAAAAGAAATCAGCAGCTCTTTCTATGAATTAGGTCAATTTCGGCCAGCCCGCAAAACGCTGGACAGCTGGGAATCCCAGTTTAAGACCGCAAAGAAGAAAGGAAAAAAAATAGAAACGAAATAAACGTTTCTCGTTATTATTACAAGTTTATTTATAAATCATTGCTTTGAGCACGATAGCAATTATTAGGGTGATAATTCCGTAAATCGAGCTACTGAATAGACATATCCGCAATGCAGACCGCAGCAAAGTCTAGTAATTCAACTTTCTCTCTTTGGTCTCTTTCCTTCTCGCTTACGACGTCGCGCGCATTTACTACTTTCAGAACCTTGAAAGTTTTTAAAAATAAAAAGATATATATCACTGTGTAATTTCATGCTGTTTTACATCGCGATAGTTGTTTCATCTCGAATTCAGAACCATCTAACTAGCAAGAAAAATTATTTTTTTCAGGCTGAGTCTAGCAACTTTGTACTGAACTTCCAGGGATTAAAAGCTACGAAAAAGCTGTGCTTTAAATTCTTGAAACAAGGTATAATTTGGATTATACTACAGCACGGAACGTTGCAGTTAACTTAGCATCGCGATTACCCGGTAAATAATGTTAATGTTTCTCTTAAACTAGCAATTAAAATTCTTTTTTTTTTTTTTTATTGCTATTCTGCATTAATAATTATAAATTATAAATATTGTTTTACCAGCATTTGGCTACAAACTACAAGCAGTTGCTGAAACTTTACACTCTTCTGTTAATTATTAATCCATTTTTATGTACGTGCACACATCATACATGCCAGGGGTTAATTTTCATCCATCTTTGTTGACCAATAATTGCCTGACCGGGTCACATGCATGCGCTACTGAACGTCAAGACTGGTGAAATATTGGACACAAGTGCTCGCGGTTTTCCACAATTTATGTATTAAATATTTTTTATAAAATAATTAAATATTCTACATTATCTAATATATAGATTAAAATAATTGAAAGTTAAAATTTTTTTCCAGAATTTTGTTTTCGAAAGTAAATACTGAAAACTGCGAGCTTGTCATCTACTGAAGGATTTTCAAGCGATTTGAATCAACAGTAAGTCTTGGAGAACTTTGAAGAAAATAAATGCCAGGGAGTTAAACTAACAAAAGTAAGAAGAAGAAGAAGAAGAAGAAGAAGAAGAAGAATAAGAAGAAGATATCTGTAATAATATTTATCTTTTATCGGTTTCACTTTAAAGTGCAAGAAGATTTGGATTTGAAGAACGAAAATAGATGAGTAAGAATTGATTCAGTTGGTAAAGCTCGAGCTTGAGTTCATTATTTCGCTGGGTGGTATATGGTAATAACTTAACTGGGTTGGTTTATATTTCTTTGTTTGAGTTTAGCGAATGTGTTAGTGTATATAAAATATGGAAATAGATTTAGATGTATTGTGTTCATGTTTCATGTTTATTGATATATATGTACAGAAAGTTAGCACGTGAATTACGACGCAATTTAAAGTCCATCGATATTATTCCTGTGGCTATTCAAATATCCGTCGGAGCCGCGAACGTCAACCCAACCTGTTATCGACCACACGAGCTGTATTATATTGTAGGGAAACACACAACGACACTTAAATCCTCTTACCTGCAGTATACAATGACTGAAATGCTGGGTGACTCACATACACTCCACGGTGCCTAGTAGTTTTTAAGTTAAAAGTCACGTGTGCAGAAAATCTTTAAGAGAAGACTACACCTCACCACTTGGCATATTTACCCCCATGAAAAAAAAATATAATTAATATATATATATATAATAATATATATATATATATATATATATATATATATATATATATATATATATATATATATATATATATATATATATATATATATATATATATATATATATATATATATATATATATATATATATATATATATATATATATATATATATATATATATATATATATATATATATATATATATATATATATATATATATATATATATATATATATATATATATATATATATATATATATATATATATATATATATATATACCCATATAAAAAATATGTATAATAAATATATTTTTAATAACTAACTTTTGGCCGATTTTCATATATATTTCATATATTTTAGATATATTCAAGATATATTTGAAAATACATAGCTAAAAATATAAAAAAAAATATATTATATTTTATGTATTTGAAATATATAAAATATATATGAAAATCGGCCAAAAATTAGTTATTAAAAATATATTTATTATACATATTTTTTATATATTTCGAAATACATATTTTTTATATTTTTTTTTCATGGTGTTAGATTTAAAACTAAATTTATACTTTTTCCATAAAACATTTTTATTTCTTCAATAAAATAATTTATCATATTTTTATATTGATAAATATGTTTTATTTTCAGGAGATTTGAAATTGCAAAGGTTATACAGAAACAAAGGAAATATAAGATTGAAAAAGTATAAAAATTGGCAAAAGTATTTCCAGATAAAATAAAAGTGATCGAACAGCCGAGACAAATGATAAGTGGACACGCGATAAATGGGTGCGAGGATACCACAGTAGAATTCACCAAAGTAAATATCATATATTTTAGATCCAAAATTCATGTAAGCGTGTGTGTTTTATCTTTTATATTATTTTAGATTGGACTAGTGAAATATAAATATTGAATATAAATATTTCAAGCAGTAAATCATCTATAGAAACAAATATCCAAGATAAGAGAAAGAAGAAATGGAATTTATAAAAGCATTTGGTAGCACTCGCTCGTGTGATTGCATCACTTCCACGAGTCTAGTGCGCTAGCACCACGTCATCTTGTAGAGTGTTATCGCAACCTGCTGCTTTCCGTAAGCAAACTTTCTTCTCACCGACTGGAATTTCTTCTTTTAGCAGGTAGTACTATTGCTTCTTAGGATTGCTCGATAGTGGCGTCAGTCGATACCAAACAAGGGATGCCGAGGGTAATTTTTGGCAACGAGCCATTTTACAGGTCAACTTTTTTTTTTTTTAATATTTATCTTTACCCTTTACCTTTTAGCTTGGCTCTATTAATTCTATCTTTCCTGGCTGGGGTGCTGTAGAATGCTCTGCAAATATTATAATTAACCACCCGGCACTCGAGCCGTGTACAATCACTTAATCTTGTAATTAAATTAACAGTCTTCACTTCCGCTTTTCTCATCGATTAATTTATGCAGATAAAGTCACAAAATTTGTCTCAATAATTACAAGTAGGTTTTTAATTTATCAGCGCTGAAGAAATAAAATTATGACATTAAAGTTTTAATTTTATTTAACAATTAAATTAATTCAAAAAAATTATTTTTAAAAAATTGCATTGTTAATTTTTTTAAATTTCTACATGCCAATTTTTTTTTTTTTAATTTTTTTGTTAAAAAAAGTCCTAAAAATTATTAAATATCTGTTAAATTAATTTTCATAATAAAATTACCTGTGATTTATAATTTAATTATAATTATTAATAATCATTAAAATAATTATAATAATAAAAAGTGAGTTACCTTCAAGAGTAGTCAATTCCGGGGGGTCCGGGCCCCCTTGGACCTGGTGTCCCAGGAGGAACCATGGGACAATGATAAGACAGATCAGCCGAGTGCCTCCAGATTGCGCCAACCACTCCAACATCTCTTCAACCCAACCCGGACACTCAGGCCCGTCGTGTCACGTCTTATCATATTACATACTCGTGAACCGAATTCACGACCGCGCTTCTCATCGATCACACTTCCTACTTTATTACCAGATATGTAAATATGTATCAATATCAATAGCTGTGCTGATATCCTGTTGAAGATCCTTCAGCACCCACACTTACCTCACTCACAAACTTTCACTCTTTTTTAAATTTCCAGCAGGTTGTCGGTACAAAAAATACTGCGGGCACTTAGTTGTCCTTCTTCATTGGGGTTGTCACCACGACTGCGGGTTCCGTGAACGCGTCACGGTCGACGAGCAGCGGCGACAAGGAGGATACAGTGCAGCGGCTGAACGTCGCGACCAAAAGGCGCCGGCGCGACCCCCGAGAACTGTACAAACCTTTCCTGGCTTTACTTCACTTACCCCTCTTTATTTCGTGCTATCCTTCACGTGTATGTGTTCCTTTTCTTTCCTATCCATACTTTTTTACACGCACTTGCTGCACATTCACCCTTATACATAAATTACCTGCACCGCTATTATTATCATTATCATTATCATTATTGTTATCATCATCATTATACTATCACTATAAAGGAGTGTAATGAAAATGTTAATTTTTTTCCGTGTCACAATGTTTTTTTTTTAAATATTCTTTCTCTTTACAAGCTCATGCTGAAAAAAATGTCAACTTTTTATGATAACTTGTCATCATCCTTGTTTATATTTATAAATACTTTTTTTTTTTTTCTATTATTTATATTATTAAAAGAATAAGAAAAATTTTGTGTTCAGGATAGTCATATGATAAAATCGGGTTTTTTAGTGAAATTTAGTATCATTACAAAGGTCTTGACTTGAATTTGTGCCTTTTCAAAGTTTCATTTCATTCTCACCAATAGTCAATTTGTGATGATAAGTATTTAAGCTGCATTTGATAATTCTCTATCTCTAGATCCATGATTAAGAAATTACCTTGTATCTCGTGAACAATTGACATTTTTTAAGATATAAGCTCATCCTGATGTTATACTCATCAAGAGGTTTCATTTGAGTACCCACATGCATTTTGATATATTTTTCATATATACATATATATATAATATATATAAATATATGAAAAATTGATGTGGGTACTCAAATGAAAGCTCTTGATAAGTGTAACATTGGGATGAGCTTATATCTTTAAAAATGTCAATAATTAAGAAATTACAGTGCAATTTAACATAATTAAGAAACGATCTTGTGTCTTGAGAACTATTGACATTTTTAAAGATATAAGCTTATCCTGACATTACACTCATCAAGAGCTTTCATTTAAGTACCCACATGCATTTTTGATATATTTTTCATATATAATATATATAAATATATGAAAAATTAATGTGGGTACTCAAATGAAAGGTCTCGACGAGTGTAATGTCA